CCCAAAAAGGGGCCTATAATTTTGGGAAACCTCCAGGTCAAGTTTAACCATGGTGAGCTCGTGCTTGACAACTACATTCACTTCAGTGCCAGTATCACGAGCAAGACAACTGGAAAAGATGAGATGATAAGCACCATGTTCGGCCCGCACCTGCGCGAGCTAGAGTTTCATCCGTCCAGCTTTTGTAAAGAGAAGACGCCTGTTGCCGCGGAGAACATGAAGCAGTGCGCAGAGCTGTGCCAGGCAGCAGGCACGGAATGTGGCGCCTTCACCTATGTTCCAGGCGAGGCCAGTGGTAGTTCCTGCTTCCACAGCAAAAGATGCTTGTACTTTTTGGCGGAATGATGTCCTTCTTCTGAAGAAGGGAGCTGTTTCGAGCTTACCCAATCGAATCCAAGGATGCGAAAGCATGGGAGAGTCCGATGAGGGTGCCATGGTCTTCGTGAAGACGGCTTCTGGGCAGGAGGAAGATCCCGCAATTATGGAGGACCACACTGCGGAAGAGAGATAATGCTGCTTGGCTCTGACTGCTCTTGCATCAATCATGGCATGCGAAATCTCAAGACATCGGCCTTGTTGGACATTGAGGCCGTGCGCCACTCGGACCATGAGAGAGCAAAGGTCTGCGCATTGCTTTGCCCCTTGGTTAGTGTGTTCGCAACTCCGACGGTCATCCCCTTGTCGCTGGGAAAAGAATACTGAGTTTCACCGTTGCGACATTCGCAAGCAGGGGACGTGGTGGAGACAGGCGAAGATGTTTTTCGCGACTCATGAAGGATAAGGAAGGTTCCCAAAATTAGGATCTAATTTGGTTCCCCTAAAAAAAAGTGCCGTAATATAGTCCATAAACAACATTGACCCATGATTTGAGAATAACCTGTAGAAACCACTGTATAATACCCCCTGTGCAATCCCATATGACAGGCAGACCATATTGGCTGAGGGTAAGAACCATAAAACTTGGGTACTGCCCCCCCTCAGTAACAGTTGGATAATAATTATACTATGGTTATATATATCCCTTAATAGGACCCCTAATATAAACTGTTACTGGGTGGGGGCAGTACATGGCAGTACCCAATATAAAACGATGGTTGTAGGGTTTGAGTAGCCGTACGATCTCCCTAATGCTGTTGACGAGCAGTCAGCCAACTCTTCAGTCTGGCGGTTTGGGGCTTAGGGTTTAGGGCTTAGGGTTTAGGGTTCAGGGTTTGGGATTCAGGGTTCAGGGTTCGGGTTCAGGGCCTAAACCCTAAACCCTAAACCCTAAGCCTTGACTGTTTAGGCTTCCGGGATTTGGGGCTTAGGGTTCAGGGTCCAAGCCTGCTGGGAGCCCCTGCTGAGGTACATCCGAACATTGACAAAGCCTCCTGGTTTGGGCCATAGCTTGCCTTACTGGGGAATTAGGGAATATATGGAAACTACTACAGTATGTAGCGGCTATATAGGGAATAATGGAAAAGAAAATGGAGACTACTATATTATAGTAGGGTATGTTTTGGGGAATGAGGGAATATATTAGGGAATGAGGGAATATGTTATTCAAGGATTGTATAAGGATAATATATATATATATCCCCTTATTCCTTACTAACCCCCAGTAGCTTGCACATATTTTCAGATCAGGAGGTTTCAAGGAGTTAATGTGGGACCCAATAGCCGGCCCAAAGAGGATACAACCCTAAACCCTAAGCCCTAAACTCCTCCTTGAAGGGGTCTCCCACAATCATGGGATCCAACCTAAGGGTCCCACCCTAAATCATAGTCACAGGAATAACATCAGTAATAGCAACAGTAATAGTAGTGCTAATAATAGTAGGAACAGTAGTAACAGTAATCATAGTGCGAATAGTAATCGTAATACTAGTAATAATAATAGTTACGATCGTGAGAATTGAACTAATTGCAAGAATAGTTACAACAGTTTCTATTGAGAAGTGTGGCCAGGTTGTTACTCCCTCATTGTTACCTGCAGTCTTTGCTGGCGTGGCTATGCCAATAAATTCCTGGTTTGTTGGGTTTGCCGACTAGATGTGAGGTTCCGGTACAAGCATCAGAACCGAGTGGAGAAGGACGAGGACGAGGAGAAGAAGCTGCTGAGGCAATGAGTGATTTGGGCACATGGGACGCAGTTCATAACCCAGACCCGTGATTAATAAATCCCCTCCCCTAATTAGGGATCATAATAGGGATCCTATATTAATGTACTTAAAAGGCGGGGTATATTAACCAGGGGTCTACATTAGTCCTGACAGAGTATTGCTTGTGCTGTCTGACGCGCGTGGCGGCGCATGATTGCTACTAACTAGTCTTATTCAATCCCCAACAGGCTGCAACAGGAGCTGCAGAAGCTGGAGAAGGAATGAGTTTGCACTGCGAAGCGCAAGCATGAACCTTTTGCTCAATGCCTCTTCGAGGAATACAATGCTTTTGGAGACGCTGGGAAAAATCACTTAAAGGCCAAAAAAGTCAAGGCAGAGATGGACAAGGTGGGTCTTACTGTTGATACCAAAAATCCGACATGACCCTAGTAACCTAGTAGACTATAGTGCCATAATTTCCAAGGTATAAGGTATTCAGGGTCATGTAGGATTTTTTTGTATCCATCGTAGTGGAGCAAGTGGAGTAGACCTGGATCCTGATTCCTGGAGCCAGGTGCAGGAGCAGCTGGCCATAATGGAAAAGAACAAGCCGCAAGCCAGCATTTGTAAAGCTTGGAGTCTGATGTCATGCTGATCCAAAAATTAAGGGTTTAGGGTTTATGGCCTCAGATGTTGAAATTTGCGAAGGGCACGCTAGCCTGGGTCTCAGGAAGTGGAATGCTGACAACATGTGCAAAACAGTGCTGGCCTTATCTGTGCTGGGTGTTGCCGGATGGGCTATAGTCTACATTCCTTTAAGGGGATTATACTGGGCACTACAGCAGGGCTTATCAAGTGAGTTTAGACTATAGCTCGTATGTCTCTATGTCTAGACAGTGGCTCAAATGGTTTGAAAACGGCTGCCGCAAACTACATTGGCAGCCTCTGCTGTCACACCTTCTGTGCTTTAGATGCTGACTATTAATAGCGTTATTGTTATTGCCAGTCTTATCACCAGTATCAATACGTACTATCATCGCGAATTATCATGGTTATTATTATTACTGTTATTACTGTTATTTCTTGTATTACAATTGCATGCAGCTATGGTTTCTGTCTGCGCCGTGGCAAGGCCGACCAGAAGACGCTCGTCTCAGAAAGTAGAGAAACACCAGGGCCGCGGGCCTTGGATTGGAGAGGGTTCAGGTTTTAGGGTTCATAGATATGGGTTAGAAAGGGGTCCTATAGGGATTTATAGGGATATATAGGGATCATGGAAAAGAAGAATTGAAGCTACTAGTTAGGGTTTAGGTCTTAGGTTCGAAGGTGGACCCCCCCCCCCAGTAATAGTGACTTCAATGGATAAGGATCATATTCGGGACTTCTTATATACCTATTATACCACTATTGCGCGGGGTGGGGGATGCTCCTAAGGTATTTCCATTTTTATCAGTATAACTACCCCGTTTATTGCTATTAATTACTCTTACTAGTACTACTGTTATTTCTATTTTAGCATTGTTATCGTTACCCTAAACCCTTGACCTAAACCCTAAACCCTCAACCCTTATTAGGCGGAAATCCTAAGGGTTGAAGCCTGAGTTTTTGAAGCTGGAGGTAAGAACCCCGTGTCGTGCCGGCAGACATCCAAAGTCCGAGGGGTTGTAGAAAGAAACCTTAACCCTGAAGCCTTAACCCTAGTCCCAACTCCCATAAAATCTTAAACCCTCAACCCTAAACCCTTAACCCTAAAACCTAAACCCGTAACCCTAGGCCCGAAACCCAATTCCCCTAAAATCTTAAACCTTAAGCCCTTAACCCTAAGCCCTAAACCCTTAACCCTAAACCCCTCAACCCTAACCCCCTTAAGCCTAAACCCTAAACCCTTAGCATCGCATCGAGGCCGGAGCCCCGGTTACAAGGCGAAGCGGTCGCAGAAGGCCCTCAGAGTTTTAACAAATCCCCGTATGGGGGTTTCCCAAAATCAGGGGTACTTTTTCAGGGGTCCCCATAGTAAGGGTTTAGGGTTTAGGGATTAGAGTTTAGGGTTTAGTGATATTACCCCAAATAATGGAGAGTCAAGTGAAAAACAAGTGGAAAATGAAATGGAAACTGGGGTTATATCGTGGTTTATATTATGAGCTACTGTCAATATTAGGCTTATTAAGGGTTTAGGGTTATGGGTTTAGGGTTTTACGGTTTAGGGTGAAGGGTGAAGGGTCTAGGGTTTAGGATTTAGTGTTTAAGATTTTAGGGGATTAGGGTTTCGGATTTAGGGTTTAGGGTTTAGGGCTTGGGATCCTTTTAACACTGGATGTACATAGGGGCTCCCTCTTGTAGTTTAGTCTAGTCCCTACTACAGTCCTTAATACGGAACCCCTGCCAGTCACATCATGTAGGAAATATTGATTGTAAGTGTCTCATGTAAGGGTTCTACAAGGGCGTTATATGCGTATGTGAGGTAATATAGGGATTGTTTGGGGATTGCATAGGGTTTATGGGCTTCAGGTTTAGACTTGAGAGGTTAGGATGTAGGGCTTCGGATCTAGGATTCAAGGTTTAGGTAGAGAAAGTGGAAAATTAAATGGCAACCGTGGCTTTATTAATTGATATTCAGTAATATTAGTGTTGCTAAGAGACCATGCATTAACGGTGTCAGAGGGGTCCCTATGTAGTTTTGTATGTTCCCAATATTTTCCCTAATAGGAATTCATGTCCACTAATTATCAGGGCAATATTGATTGTAGCTCATATAAGGGTTCCTCAGGGTTCCTATAAGGCTTAACTTATATATATATATATGGGTACTATGATATCCCTATGTGCTACTGTATAGTAAAAATCCCAGTTCCGTTTAGTTGTCCTTTTTTCTCCATGTGTTTCTCCACTATTGGTAAACTTCGCGACGTAGCCACTGGTGCCCGGACTGCGCTCACGCCAACCATGTTCGTACACCCTGCGCATCCAGACCATGCTGGCATTCAGCCGCGACAGCAACTCATCCCCCAAGTTCCAACCATAAAAGCGTTCATTTGTTACTGAGGCCAATTACCAGAGCATCCATGCCCAAACCAGAATGACGCTAGTCTCTGAGAGCATGCGATCACCACAACATCCATGCCCTAATCACAATAACGTTCGTGTTTCACAGCTTCCGATCACCAGACCAACCGTACCCAAACTATGTCCATAACTGCGCTTATTATGTTTTACAGACGCTGAGCTTCCGGCTTTTCTTCCAAATGCCTGAAAAGTTAGCCCTGCCAGTATTTTCAGCATTCGTGCACCCTGCCAACTCTGCCCGCTGTGGACATGTCCGGGCGCCAGATGTTTACGGCGGGAGTGACTTAGGCCCCTACTACCGTTCCTGCAGCACGTTGTGAAATACAAACCTTGCAAGGGTTTCAAGGCCTGGTACTGTAGTTTTTCA